GGGAGAGGCTGAGAGCCATCAGTGGAACCAGGCCTTGCCAGGGAGGCTCCAGGCTGCTCAGGAGAGAAAGCAGTGGAGAGCCAGGAAGTTGGTTAGTTCTAATGCACAGGGATTTGGGGTCATGAAAGAAAGCCAGCTAACTACACTGAAATCCTACTCGTCCCAGTGATATCTATGTTGACCCACATTCCTCTGTAGGAAAAGCTGTTGCTGCCATCGGGCAGGCACATCCATCCTCCAAATATCCTGTGATGATGACTCCTGTCCAGAAACCCTCGGAGAAGGGCATGTGGGAAGGCAGACTGGCTGTGGTTTGGAGTTCTTCTGGAATAGCAGGAATTGCTTTTTCCCCAAAGGGGAAACCCAATCTTTCTGCTATTCTGGTCACCCATTAGTTTTCCTTTCTTTAAAAATGTTTTTAAATGTTGTTAATCTATATAAATATTTCTCACTCTCCAATTTCCAACTAATCAAGGGGAATGGATAAAATGACTGCCTGAGATTTCCTTAACGCCCTTCTGAGATATTCTAGCATTACATCCTGTCAATACCCCCTTTCTTACATGGTAAACATCATTAGCAAGCATGCTTGTTACCATTAAACCATCAAAAGAGGTTCTACAAGCCAGTCTCTTCCCTGTGCACCTCTCCCATGGCTGTCTTAGAAGATTGCTTCTCAACCCTGGCTGCACATTAGAATCACCTGGGGGGCTTGCCCAGGTCCCACCCCCCCAACCAATTAAATCAGAGTCTCCCAGAGCAGCCCTGGACATCAGGATTTTGTAAAAGCTCCTTAGGTGATTCTTATATGCAGCCAGAGTAGAGAATCAGTAGCTTGGGGCAAGAATCCAAGTTGAGTAAAAAAGCACAGCAGTGGTAATCATGAGCGCGGACTAGAATCACCACCTGATTTTAGGTGTGCTCTTTCTCAGTCCTAACGTGTTCTCTTCCTGGACCTACCCAATGAAAACGCTTCTTTGGTCATTCATGTCTTGGTGTAACATTTTATGAAGCTGAACTCAGTGGTCCTGTATGTCTCACCATGTTGTCCCAAAGAGTGTTGGGTAATTTTCTTTGTATAGCTCTCAGTGTGGCATGTCACAGTCAGTGAGGTGCTATTGTGAGGTGGGAAAAGTGGGTGTTTTGGACTCAGAGCTGCGTTCAAAAACTTACTAGTTGGGGCTTCCCTGGTGGCGCAGTGGTTGAGAGTCCGCCTGCCGATGCAGGGGATGCGGGTTCGTGCCCCGGTCCGGGAGGATCCCACATGCCGCGGAGCAGCTGGGCCCGTGAGCCATGGCCGCTGAGCCTGCGTGTCCGGAGCCTGTGCTCCGCAACGGGAGAGGCCACAACAGTGAGAGGCCCCGCATACCGCAAAAAAAATAAATAAATAAAGATTAAAAAAAAAAAAAACTTACTAGTTGGGCCCTCCTGAGCTAAAATGGAGATAACAATATACATATTCACAAAGTTTAAAAATCGGATCCTGTGTATAAAGCCATTCATGCATGGGTAGAGCTAAGCGTGAGGTCCCTTTCTTGCCCAACTCTCTCTCCACCCACCCTACAACCTTGTTATCCCAGAGAAAGCCAAACACATTGAAGAAATGATAGCTGTCTTTAGGATGGTCAACTGGAAACTCATCCTGCAGACAGAGCATGGAAGCTTTCATTTTCTCTCTGGAGGATGCCACAAGCACACACAACCACACCTCACATTGCACACACACCTCCCCCTCTTGACATTATAGCAGGAAGGAGAGAGAAAGGCTGTTACCCAAGGGAGCTGTTTCTTCTTGTCACACAAGAACAGATGCTGAAATCCTAGGACAGACAGCACAGAAATGTGGCAGCAGGAGGGTGAGTCAGAGGAAATGGAATGGTCTCACCTTCAAGATACATCAAGGCCCAGAGGGGAACCTATTTGAATCACTAACCTCCTGGAGACTCCAAAGGGCAGAGACGTGTGTGTGTGTGTGTGTGTGTGTGTGTGTGTGTGTGTGTGTGTGTGTGTGTGTGTGTGTGTGTG